TGTGCTCCATTCCGTACAATTTCCTCATCGCACTGCATAACACTTCACTTAATAATATCACCACGTAACATGTAATACTGATGATCATGTAATACTGAACATGAACATGTAATACTGATGATCACTTTTACCACACACTGGTTTCACCACGCTGCACGAACATTTCAATTAATATCACTACGGTAATACTAATGATCACTTTTACCACACACTGGTTTCACCACCCTGCACGAACATTTCAATTAATAATATCACCACGGTAATACTGATCGCTTTTACCACACCTTGGTTAATCACTTTTCACACGACGAGGTTTCATACACCCTTTCGTTTATTTGCATGTGTAGGCTTACGCGTGCTACTTTCCGTCTATCATGACCATCTTTTGTCATCTTCCTTGCTTTCATGAATTATTTCCTTCATTTAAACCACGTTCACTCAAATCACTTTTTACGATCTTATTCCCTTCGTATTTTTGGTGATTTCCTTTTCCCACTATCCTGTCGAAGTGCGCCATTTGTCATGCTTCGCACTCGTTCAAACACGAGGTGGGTTCTTCTGTGTGAACTTACCAATAATGGGAAAATAACACTTGTAGCTTTGACATTTTCTTCACTAATTTATTACACATACTGCACTATATATACACCATACAACGAATACACTGTAAAATAAACTATATACAATATATATATACAAGGCGCGCAAAAGAAACTAAAACATGTTTCAGTTCTCTACATTCTCACACGGCATGCTGGCCGGTCCAACACTAAGTGCCCACCAGTCCACTCTTTCTTCCCCCCCCCACCAGCCTGCCTCGATCGATTTTTCCGGGGTAGGTCCCTTCCGTTCTTCGTCTTTCATCAGGGGAAGGAACTTCACAGAATGCATAAATCCTTACGACTTCAGCGCACGTGCTCATCATGGGCGATTGCAGCGCTTTTTACAATCCATATACAAAGGAAGAAAATATTGCCGTTTTGAATCACGTGAAGTGTTCTCTTTTAAGACATTTTTTGTGTGTGCAACTTCAATATACCTTGTATAAATACGTGCATTATTTGTGCACATTTCAGAGTTCGGCCGAGAAGAATCGTTGCAAACAGAGATTGTGGATTATCCTTGCCGGAAATAGGTCATAGTGTCGAACGTAGCCAAGCAACAGTCATGCCAATATGGAATCGATGGAACAACAGCAGGGAACAACTGACAGACAAAAGCGATAACAACCGCCTCGTTGCACCACTCCACGGCAAGATAGGTATTTTTTGCGCATAGCACTTATGGAGCCACTGTCACATCCGTAACCATATCACAACGAATACACTCTGTAACGCAACAATCTGTGCCTGCACGAATAATTCGATGTCGATTACAATACAATAGACTGTCTACTAGGCGTCCATTGCTTAGCTTACTTTTAACTTTAAATCACGGGCGTTTCCATTCGCAATAGTGCACTGAACTATGTAGTTGGACATCCGAATGACATGATGTTCGGTTTTCGGACGAATTACACTTCTCTTTGCAGTACAGCGATGGTTGGATTAGAATTTGGAGACATCGTGAAGAGAGGTTGCTCGACTGTTGGGTTTTGTATTGTGATACTCTACCAAGTGTAATAGCCTGAAAAGATACTGGATTCCACTTTCTCACCTTCTAGTACGCTTCATCGGTACACTTACCATTCCAACACTAAGTCTGTGAGGTTTTGCAGTCTGTTCTCCTTTCTTACCTTTAAGACTTTCCTGTGGCTACATTTCAGCAGGACAATGTGCGACTACACGTTTCACGCAATGTCCAAGCTTTCTTCTTAACCCATCATTTTGTATTATTACCCTGTCCTGCCCGTTCTCCAGATCTAACGTCCATAGAACATATCTGGACAATGATCGTAGAACGCCTAGCTCGGCATGCCCCACCCGCGGGTATACAAAATGAACTTTGGCTGCATGTGGAGGCAGCATGAGCTGCCGTTCCCCAACAACAGGTCCAAAACCTCTTTCACTCAATGTCACGGCCAGTAGAAGCGTTAGCAGTTTGACAAACATAGAGGCAACACTAATTTTTGATTTTCTCGTATTCCTCACTTCAAAGAACGCTACATTCCAAATCAATTAACATTGGTATTATGTATTATCTCTGATTTGGCTTTGATACCTCTTTTCCTTCTTCGTGTTTTATTTTGGATGACTAGCAGTTTAGATAGCTACCCCACAATTTCTGTAGGAATATCAATCGCTTCTATAGATGCGATTTTTATGCTAGTGCTCAGCGAGGCAAAAGTTTCATTAATCAGGGCGACATCCGTATCATATTCGACAAGGAAATTTTGAAATTCAGTGATTTTTTGTGGAGACTGCTTGAGTTCTACACAATTAAGTAATGGTGCTCGATTGACGTATATACCAATTGTTTGTGGTATCAGGAAGAGCATCTTGATATTGATAGTTTTGTAATGATTGCAGTATATTAAGCTGAAAGTTTATTTCTTTGATAGCCTTTACTAGCCGCCAGTTTAGGTTATACGTTTCGTGCTTCTGCAATTATATCTAAGTTAATAGGGGTACTAGACGGTTTGGCATTTGTTATGTTTGTAATCACCCTATTTAAATAAAATTTAGATTTCCTTTTCTTCGTTTTGGAATAAAACCACTTCCTCGAAAGTTTTTTGTGACTGATCGCAACTGGCACAGCAAGGGGCTTTATCTTTGCTAGTTTTATCAGAACAATTACGAAAAAAAAAAAAAAAAAAAAAAAAAAGACTTTTGACGCAACTGACGCATTTGGGATCATGGGTGCAACCCGCCTGAGTATGGTAGAACCCTTGACAATGGTAGCATTTTAAGGGTACCACCCACCCACCCTTTGTACTCTTCAATTTTAGTTTTAAGGTTGTAGATGAAGAGTTCATTATAAATATTCTTAGAGTACTTATGCTTTGTTAGAGCCATTAAAAATAGCGAGAATATGATTTTCTCACTATCTTTCTATGGGATATTTTTTTAATGTTTAAAAGTTCATAGTTTTTACTTTTAAGATTTTCAGTTATGTCAGTACTAGTATTTACAATCAAATTTCCTATAACTGGCTTATTTCTCCATGATTTGGAACAACATAAAAGTTAAATTTAATGTTTTAATGTTCATGAATGGTAATTTAGTAATCTCTTTGTATGTTGATATAGATCTGGTTATAATCTTGATTCCGCGCGGAATATTCTGACAGTAAAAGTTATGAATTCCTTCCTAACGAATAAATTTATCAATATACATCCATGAATAAGTTACTTCTTAAATTATGAGGGACGGTACTTTTTCGTGTTTGGTTTTAATTTCAGTGTGTGGTGGTTTAATATTATTTATGGTTCATATATTAGGTTCACCAGCATCTTTAGTGTGCTTGTTCAGGGTTTTCATCATTGAAATTCGTTTCAGTGTTCACATTCTGATTTTATATTTCTGCGGTCGTTTTCTGTGTGTTTTAAGGGTATGATATTTTTTTGTCAGTTTACGGGTTTCTGTTTCTGGTAGTTTGATCATCTTCTCTGATTTGATCAAACTATCAGAAACATCTGCAAAACCTGAGTCATTTTCAGAACTTGTGCCTTCATTTAGAAGTTTCTCTGATATTACAGAAGCAGTTCTTTGTAGGTCGTTATATAAGTTTATCGGGCTTCTGTCACCTTTAGTGAAAAATATTTTAAAATCGTCTCTTGTTTCTTTAAATTTGTGTGCGACATTACTTTGAGGGGGAACTACTTTTAAAATAGCATGGAAGTAGGCACTGAAATCAGTACTTCTATCTCTGCTTCCGTCAAGTATCATTATGAATGTTTTCAAAATTTTAGGTCACGTGTTGGTTCCTCAATGAGGGTGCCGAAGTTAAGCCTAAGCTTGCTCCAGCCTATTATTAAGTCTCCTCAGTATATTTGGAGTCCGTCAAAAACGTCGTGGTATGAAACATCGCGGGAGAAAAAGCAAAGAAAAAACATCACATTTCTAAAAACATCGTGGTACAAAATATTGTCGTCGAAAATAAAGTGTTTCAAAAACTTCGCAGTTTAAAAACATCATCGTCGAAACTATCGGGGTAAAAAATAAAGTACATACAAATCATCGCAGACATGAGTTTTTTAGGCTTTAATAATTTTAAAAGGATACTCGCATAATGATTTGTGAGCGCAAGATAGAAAGAAGAATTTTTACTCTCATATTGTTTTATTAACTAATAAATATTTGCTGAAAATGTAAAATGGAAACTTAAGCATAGAAAATTAATGCAACTTATAGCACTTTAAATTAACATAATTAACTAATTTTAAACTAACACAGTTAACTAACAAAGGTCATTCATAAATTACTTTGTTATAAAGATTTACTGGTAATTTTTCATGAAAAGTATAGTCTAAAAAAGAATAGAAAAAGAAAGATAAGTAACTGCATGACCTTATTTATAAAAAATTGCTAATTATGATATTATTTTCTTCACTTTTGTCAATATCTGATACTCTTATAGTGAAAATTATTTCTTGTTTTGTTTAAATTTGTTTTTCTCTTTTTTTTAAAAAAAATGTAGTTAATTAAAAATATGAACTCTATGAAATCGGACAGGATATAGTGTTACTGTTTTACAAACTTAACAAATTGTTTTGATTGGACATGTCCTTACTCGGAAAGTAATGATATTGGTCATCCGATTTCGTAAACTGTTATCATTCGTTTGTTAATATCCACAAAAGAAATTAGAAATATTTTTAAAGGTTATTTTCCTCAGCTCACCTTAAACGTATCTTATGAGATATTGCATAGAACTATCCTAATGTTTTAGCTCGAAAATTATACCACAGGCTTATTATTGGTAATGACTTATGATAGAAGGAAATAAAAATAAGGAAATTTCTGTTTTCATTTTTAATTCGTGTTATAGCTTAGCGATGGCAGGTGAAAACTCGAATGATTTAGTACTTCTTTTTTTATAATGCAGTAGTAAACCGATTTGAAATGATATTTTGTTGCCTGGACTTGTATAAATTTACTGATAGATATTCTGGACATCATATAATTGACTTTATGACCGAATTGATAATATACCTAAGAAAAATTGGCTACACCTGTATTCCACCTTTTAATTATATTTAGTAATAAAGAGAATGTTTAACTTCACTTAATTCAATTTGTAGAATACTTATTCTTTAACGAAAGAAATACATTTGATCCTTGAAGCTTTAATTTCAAAGCACTTTAGAAATTTCTTTTAGAGCTGGTATCATCCTCCAAAATGACCGGGTACTTAAAATAAATAACCGAAACATTATGGACATGCCAGAGGATGAACTGAATTCATGGCAGAAAGAACTCGATGTGGCTTCTGAAATCTTGTTATCCATTGAGTTTGATGTCGAAGAGCCAGAAGTTAAATCCGGAACTTTCAGAGTCGAACTTCAAAAGGTAGCTAAGATTGGAATCCATTTCAAAGGTAAGATTGTTTTAAATACTCGTACTTTATAGTTTTCGTATGTGATTATATTCAATTAAATATAAGGCCTTGTAACATCACTTTTATAACTTTGGTAAAGAAAGTACTTCAACTATTTACTAAAGTCTAGTTAACTATTTAGTAAAATATTTACCAGTTTTGAATTGGAGACTAGAAAAATTGTGCGTTGCATATTTTTTAACAATTAATTTTATTTATTGTTTACTAATTCTGAAACGCGTATAATACGACAACTATAAAGTAGATCATTAGAATTTAAGGTGTTGTTTTAAAATGCCTTTCTAAAATCACTGTACCTATTGAATGAATTAAAACCTCTTAACATTTTTAAGCAGGAGTTAAATTGCTTCTTCTTTTCCTACGGTCATCAAAAGTCGTTTATTCATAAGGAGAGACCTCCTTGAGTTACTGTAAAGTGATTATCCATTCAGTTACAAAATTTTTAACATTTTATAAGTTTCGTTATTTTTTAATTTCTCGTTTTTTTCTGTGTGCTAATATTTCTTCAATTTTACATTTTAATTCTTTTTAGAATTTATTTTAACCAGTAACGTCTTTCATTTTTTATAATTACGAATGTTCCAGTGTTGTTATTTCCCGAAAGGCTGCTGCTGTTTTTATATCAAAATACTTTTCTGAAAAATCTCAGAGAGCATTACTTAATTATTCATTGTGGTCATAAGGACATTCAGTTGTTAATTTTTAATTAGTAAAAATGTAATGCAGTTTCATATATTTGTTGAAAAAATCATTTTTCTTTCACAGTGAAGTCATAAATTTCTGCATAAACTAAACGTCAAAGACTAACGCCTAACTAACGCATAAACTAAACGTCTTTTTCTTTTAACAAAATTAGTTTTCTTGTTAACTGAAATTAATTTATGCTTTATTCAAATTGAATCTATTCAGTTTATTTAGTATTTCGTTGCTAATTCTCAAATTTAACCCAAGCGAACTTTTAAAAACTTCTGTTGTAATGATTCTGATACCCTAAATCATTTACATTAATTTTATCCTACATTGAGAGAATACAGATTTAAATAGTGTTTGTGATTTACATTGTAGTGGTGGGGTCTGATTAGTAGTATGTCCTAGGCCCACAAGGCCTAGGATTATGTTTAAGTTGCTCTCAAATTAGGCAATAATGTTTGCAAAACAATAATATTTTAACTTCACCCTCATAAAATGTTATGAAATTCTGTCATAGGGGCCCAAAACAACATTGCTTCTATGCCGTCTATGTTTTTGTCTGTGTTTCTAATAGAGCTGTGAATAAAAAGTGTCATTTGAGATATGGTGTAAAATACATTTTGCGTGTACAATGTTTTGGATTAATGTTTTTCTAATAGATTGCTTTTTCCTAAAATATTGTCTGCTTGCGCAAAAATAGTCTATGGATTTAGTCGTCTGCATTTAATCCAACGGACACCTTTTGCTATAAAGCGGGGACGCATTTCAGTTGCTGCGTTAGTGCCTGTAAATCAAGCATTAACAAGATCTAATGCTTTTCTTTAGTACGCATGATTTCCTAAACGGAGCAAAAACGTTGTTCGCATTAAACGGAGCAAAAACGTTGTTCGCATTAAACGGAGCAAAAACGTTGTTCGCAGATCTTGTTAATGCTTGATTTGAGTTCAGAAGCCACCAAAAGTGGAGAGGTTAAAGTCGCTAAACATTGGTAGTTTGAGCTGGCTGCATGGGCGACTTCGTGTTTTTCTAAATGTGTAATGTGGAGATGAGACAATTTCCTTAGAAGGTCATCCAGGAAGGAATCTCTCTCCTTAAGCAAACTGCACTAGCGTGCTTTGCCATACCTAAAATCAAACTAGAACATGAGCTCAGAAGTAGTGATTCCATGCTATTCTTCTTCGTAGCATAGAACGGATAAGAACAGCGGAAAAGTTACTGAAAAATCGTTTCTGTGTGATCAAAAAATCGTTTCAGATGAACATAATATCGATAAAAAGTCTGCTCATTGCTGCCTTGATTTATGGCAAGCATTAATCCCGAGTTTTTCGAATGACTAGAGATGAAACCTGGTGCCTTACTTTTAATTTCTTGGGTGAAAACGACAATCATATCCTTGTGCTGGAGAAGGTTTCCCGCAACAGAAAATTCCGCTTCATAAATACGTAAATACTCTGTTTTTAATTTATTTTTTTACACTGATCATAGGCTAATCAAATAATTGAACAACTAGACACTGCTTACAGTTTCCGTATCACGCACCGGCTATTTAACAAATGAATCTATCACATCATTGTCCACCTCCCCTTTTTTTTTATTTGCGGCATAACACTGTATTGCTTCAAATATTTTACTTGTTTCTTCGACTGCAGACAAATACCGTAAGCACATACTTTAAAATTGAGTTTAAGGCAAAAAAATATTGCAATTTATTTATAAAGCCGTGGAAATTTAGAACACAAGGAAAATAACGCATATGAAGACTGCGTCGTTGCTTCATTGAAGCATTGTTATGAGCATAGTTTTCTGAAGAAGGATTAGCGCATGGTTGTTAGAGTTAGGCACCTTCTAAAATTTGGCGACTTCAATATATTAAGGTAGTTCTAATAATATGTAAGTACCTTATAATGTATAATATGTATCTAGATATTAATATAATATAATATATATATAATAGAAAAAGGCATTTTAAATTGAACTTTTGGCTGTGAGCAAACTGCCTATTTTTTCAGTCGAGGCCTTATGTAAACATTTAGAGCCACTATCGGCGATCATTTATATAACCGCCCCCTCGCCCAATGGCTGAACATTTGCTTTTATTAATATAACTTTCAAGCAGCTAAGCTTAGCAGCAAAAAATTTACTTTAAGTAAATTATAACAAATTTTAAATAAGAAATGAATAATTAAAGAAAATACTCTTTTAAATGTAAGTATGCAATAAAATATAATATTTTAGTTTAATTACATTTTTGATATTTATAAATTTTACTCTTCATTTAGTCTTAGCATTTCGGGAAGCCTTAAAGTAGCTGCTTCGCCGGAACGGCACGGAACGCTATTTAAAAATAAGAGCGGAAGAATATATAATTCGCCCTAAGTCATCCTGGAAATCCTTCTTTCCAGATGGCATTTATTAGCAGCATCTATCTCAACGATTTATGGGATTATCTCGTCTAGCGCTATACGACGTTAGAAGAAACATTTCCGATTAACGAGTTTCTGCTAGCTGTAGTTTGCATCATGGAGGTAGGAAAGGGAATAGGGGCCAACCCGCGATAAAAGTGAAGCACTGCTTTGAAGCTTGGGTCACCAGATGGGGTGTTCTTTGTTTACATTCAGAAGCTCGCTTGACAAGATTCTGATAGTATTTCGACACACGACAGTTCCATAGAAATCGAAAAAGGGACACTTTCGCATGAAAGAAACAATCATAGTGTGATGGATAATAGCAATTTGTATAGTTTAGTGACATTTACGCAAAAATCACATCTTGGTTATTTTTCGATAACTAACGACAGAGATTTTGATTATGAATTTCTTTTATAAAATTATAAGCTGTTGCACTACAAAAATATAGATTTTAAGAAAAATGTTACGCTTAAAGAATGAAAAATACCTTACTGTACATTAAAAATTGTATACGTCTTTCGATACCCTTGATAAAATATTCGCTACTTTTATTTTATTTTCCAAACGTCAAAATGTTTTAAATAAAACAAATTTTTTTCACATCCATATATTATTGTAACATGTACCTTTTAAAATTCGTTAGAGGAGAGGCTTTACTGCTGCTCATTTTAAACCCATCGTTTTAATTTTGCATATCTGAAAAATAATCACTTTGGGCTTACACGTTTTATAAATATAAAATTATGTATGTTAAAATATTTGTAATTAGGCGCATAGGTCAGATTAAGTTTTTATTAAATAGAGTAACGCATGCAAGGGCTATCTGCCTAAAGAGAGAGAGATGCCATCGTGGAGGAATTTTGAAGAAAAACTGAACTTTGAGTGGGTATTAAAAATAATACTTATAATTTTCATTCAAATTATATTCATATATATTTTTTATGTAAAACTTTCGGGTGTATGCTAAATTAGTGTAAATAACTTGACACGAAAAATATAGTGAATGCACAGAAATTAAAGATTTGCACATGCCGGAAATGAAAAATAGAAAATATGTATGGGTATTTATGCATGTGCTTGCAAAAAGCATGTATCTGCCTTTGACAAAATATTTAAATATTCCTTAAATTATTTATAAATGTATTTGAAATGAAGAATTTATTCACTTAAAGAACTGTGAAAGTACTGTGAAGAAATCTAATTATTAAATGTATCTAATTTATAATGATTATAAATGTTATCTAAATATATAATAACCTTTATATTGAATTGTAAACATAAATTGAAATCCTGTTGACAAATACGTTATAAAACTATTTAAGCAAGAATTGTTCGTGTTGGAAAGCAATCTCTTAAAAGGTATTGTAAAGCAAATGCTATGAGATGCGCACTTAAGAACGTAATAAAAAGTTTTGGAATATGTATTGTTGAAATGAAGGGTAAAAAAAATCTGATAAGTATAATTAAAAGAACTATTCCCCTTACATTTTATAATAACTCAGTTACAAGTTTTAAATAATACTTAAAAAAAAATTAAAAAAAAAAAAAAAAACTTATATTATTCCCTTTTAGAAATTTTCAGAGAAAGTCAAGTACTATTTAATACCTATTTAATTATTAGGAATTAGCGAAATACTTATTTAAAGTATTTCGCTAATTCCTAATAATTCTCTAATTTAAAATGAACCGAATAGAGCATTAATTAAATTGACTTACATTTTTCGATTTAAAAGATGCCTCAGAAGCCAAAAAATCATGTCATATTTAAGAAAGTATTTTAGGAAGAAGCTCTATAAATAGAAAAGAAATAATGCATAATTTTAATATTAATAATACAATAAAATTTGATCTTAATTTTTGTACCTTAACCGAATAATAAAATCGAATTACCTTAATTTTTTTTTCTAATGTAATTAACGAAAACTTGTGAAAATATTTCATTCAAATTAAACCATTCTGAGAAAACTGTCCTGTGAAAAGTATAGCATTTAATTCCGTTCAGAATGAAATGTTGTTTAAAAATATGTTGTTTTCACATACTTAGGACTCTGAAGTGTTGTAGAAAAAGAAAATATATACATTTGTATGTATATTTACGACGTAATTACAAAATATTTACATCCGAACGCTTCAAATCCCATAGAACTCAATGGTAAATGACCCAATGTTTTAGTCACCACGTAGGGATCGCCGGTGCTTCAGAGCAGGGTACGGGAGAAACTTGTTTAGGGCGACTCCATCTTACTTCCTACCTCCATGGTTTGCATGGAGTACCTTACTTCCTACCTCCATGGTAGTTTGAACCGGGGGTGGTGGTTCCTAGCCGAAACTGTTGCGCTGGACGCTGTATCACGAGTACCTCCTACCTGGGATATTTTATAACACTGCTATGTGCTTCTAGGAGATCTTCACGTAAGCCAATCATACAAATTTTCTGGAAGCAAAAATTCCCGAAAAGTTTTCTTTCGATCAGCAGTAGACTGTAGCTTAAGATCTTATATCCATTTTTCAATGAGTATTTTCTTTATGAAAGCCTGCGGAACTTTGTCAGCGAAATCAGAATTAAGCTTCCAACTCCCGCGTTAGGTGACATTACTTGGGGAGATTCGAAACTGCTATTATTTCTACTATCCAAATATTTCCATTTTTTTTTTTTTTTTTTTATTGTTCCCACTATTAAAAATAAGCAGTAACTTTTGTTGTTGTTGTTGTTGTTGTTGTTGTTGTTGCATTTCTTTTCGGATATTTATCACCTAAGAATTTTTTTGAAGGCTAAGAGTTTGGTCCCATCATTTGTATGAAATTTTTGAAGGCTAAGACTTTGCTCCCATCATTGTATGTTATTAATACCTAAGCACAACAGCAATCTAAGTTTACCGACATGGATATTTAAAATTTGAAATAAAATAATTTCAATAGTAATATTTGTGTTTGCAGTTCCAAAATTTGTAAAATTGGCTGTCGTTTATTTGGGGTGCCATTTGTCTATTGCTCAGTATGACATATTCGAAAACTGTTTTCAAACAGACTTTCCTTACACTTACGAGGGTGCAAAATTACTTTATAGTTAGATAATTAATTGTTAACTTTAATAATTAAATAAGTTTTAAAAATATCTAAAATCTTTTTAGCCACCAGAAGAGGTTCACCAATGGTCGTTTCGGGAGTAACTAAAGGAAGTGCTGCTCATCGATCAGGGGCTATCTTTCCTGGAGATGAAATTCTCTTTTTTGATTTCGTGAAGACGGAAAAATATGATCCCTGTACTTGCGATTATACGCGGAAAGATATGTTGCTCTTAACAGTTCACAGATCTCCTATAGGTAAGTAATCACGATTCGCATTATTTGTATCCATTTTAAATTGCACGAAATAAAATTACTTATACTGCACTTTAAGGATAACACTTATTTCTTTCCAGATACAATTACAGATATTCTGCAGAGTGAAAATAGAGCTGAAAGGAAATTCCATGATTCTGAAGAAGAATCTTTACTGATTACTGAAAATTCTTTCATTGTAAAAAAGTCTTCTACCCGCGCAACTGATCGAAATGGTACGGTTATTTTAGAAACTGAAGTCATCCTATTCAAAAATACAAAATGTGGAGGTTTCGGAATTCGAATTGGTCAGGATAAGAGGTCTGATAGAGTTTATGTGATGGATATCAGACACGACGGGCCTGCATATAGTTGTGGTGTCATACAAAAGTTCGACAGGATTGTAAAGGTGAGTACAATGATTTCCAAAAGTTTGTTTAAATTACAACAGAAAATTTTGTTTCAAGCAATGTCTTAATGAAATTTGTCGTTCTCTTTGAATATATGTATACGTTAATTTCCAAAACTAGTAACTTTCTTAATTTACCATTTTTACAAACTATGTTTTTTTTAAAGAGTTCTTGTAAACTGACTTTTATTCACTAGGTAAATTTAAATTCACAATAACTACAAAATTTTGCATTTTGAAGCATATTAAAGATGAAGTTCTCCAAAGTCGAGATTACCAAGGTTAAACTATTATATCGAGGAAGAGACTGCAAATATTTTTGAAATAAACATTTGGGTATTCTAGAGCTGTGGTAAATCAAAATAAAAACTTAAATATTACATCTTACTAAAAAAATGAAAACAGAAGTAGTAAAATTACCAAGTCTTCAAATCAAAACTTAAATATGGAGATATGTGAAAATCATTTCATTTTTGGAACCAGATCAAAATTGAATTCACAATAAGTGGCAAAATTTGAAAAATTTGCATGTTTAATATTTTGTTTATAGATAAAAACATTGCTAATGGAAAAGACCGAGGAGAAAAAAATGCAAAGTAAAATCATAGTACAAAAAACATCGTGGGAGAAAAGAAAGTAAAAACATCGTAGTTATTAGAAAAGTATCGCGGTACAAAATATCCTGATATAAAATAAAACAGTGAAAAATTTTGTTATTTTAAAACACCATCTGACAAAATATGGTTGGAAAAAAAGCGCCAGAAATCATCGCATGATGATAACTATGCACAAAAGCCTTTTTTGGTTGAAAAATTTGCGTAATGATTTGAAAACACTAAGAAAAAATGAGTAATATTTTTAGCTTTTTATTTCACATTTTTGTATTAGAATTGGTTACTAAGAAAGTAAAAAAAAAAAATTAAGCATTCAGAATCTGTAAATTAGTAACAATTAATGCTAGAATTTTAAACTTGTGTACCTTTGTCATTTTAATCTTTTTTGTACTATGCCTATTTCTTGAAAATACGCCAATACGTTTTTATGTAAGCGGTTAATTTAATAAAGACTTTTAAAAATTAGCAACGTAAGTTTGAAATTCTGTTAATTGTCATACGTAGCTAATTTCTAGGTTTTGAATGCTGAAGTTTATTTTTTTTTATTGAGTAAATTTATATTAGTTAGTACAAAATTCTGAAATATAGACATAAAATATTACTTACTTATTGCGCTCACAAATCATTATGAGTAAATTAATTAATTTCTGGATTTACAGTCAGAAAACATGTGGCAGAGCCAGTTATGGATAACCATGAAGTAATAACACACTCATAACATCTACATTTTCATTGGATGTAACTCCGATTGATTCTTGATAAGCCACCTTTTGTTTTTGTGAAGAAGGATATAAATTAAGCGTCACTTCTGTAATTTGTTTCGTGCATTTTTCGAAAAAAAATTAAAATTTGGAACCTGCTGACTAAAGAAGAGAAAACAGTGGATTTATTTCAAAGTTGTGGGATTCCATAAAATATGTGCATTAATGGACACCATGACACTATTTGAAAACGAAAGAGCAATGCCGGTGCAACGTTCGTAACTACACTCCGATTCATTTACAGCTGGTCGAGAGAATTAACATTTGTTAAAATGGTGGAAAAGCAAAGCTGGATATGGGCGATGAAACTGTAATTGGGCACAATTACCTGAGTATTACGTGTGTACTCATAGCCTTCTAAACAGGTCTTTCGGTAATATTGGACAGCCTAACAGAACAATAGAAATCGAAGAAAGTCTTTTTACGAAGCGGGTCAAACGCTGACGGTTTATTAAATACAGGGGCGTCACTTCCTTCGGAATGCCGCAGGAAAGACTGACGGGATTTCCGCCAATTTTCATGTTTCGATGGTAGCCAACTTTACGGTCTACAAGATAAAACGTAAGTACGCATTTCAGTTTTTATGAATTGGGGATGATTCAAGTGCAATAAATCCGAGAATTCAGATGTTTCGGATGTGGCATGTTATTTTGCCAGGTCGGTATGCTAACAGGTCGTGCTTTTCAGTTACATCACGAGGCACGCAGTAAGGAGGAAAAAAGTATTCTGCAAATTACTTGCCTGATACAGCTGATCGAAAGAAATTTCTTTTTTGATCAACTCATCTATGCATGATTTTCTTCTGTGCTGTACTGCCACATTAAGCTAAATTTGACTCCAGTTGGAACATTTCAACTCGGTGATTGCTCAAGGTATTGGAAGTCTGTATCAAAACATGAAAAAACGCCTCCTATCGCAGAAAATTTCAAGAATTTATAATTAAACTCAGGATTCGAAACTCTGATTATGAAATGTGTTGTTATTTTTCGTACATAATTCTTAAAAGAGCTCCAGATAAAATTGTATAAACTGTATTATGAACTTGTTTGTAAGAATATTAATTTTTACTGTACTATTCTAGGCTGATCATAAAGATTCTCAATAGGAAATCATTTTAAGACTATCAAAAATATAATTCTTTAAAGAGTATATAAGGTATTTCTCCCACTTCCCTAGCGTGCCTTCGTGGTGTAACGGTAGCACGCTGGGCCGGTATTCCAGAGGTCCGAGGTTCGATTCCCGGCGAAGGCGGTTGCATATTTTTCATCTTTCCTGCTTCCAATTAACCTAATGACTCTACAAGTGTGTCAAATCTGAAATAATTTTTTTTTAACGGAAAAATTTCTTCTATACGTAGTAAATTCTGTAACAATTTGCAAGTAATTAAAAATTTTAAAAATCTGCACATTAGAAAATTTGATATGCCCAGTAAATATGTTTTAAAGATATGTTTATTCATGTTTTTGTGCATGAACTTAAAACAGGTTTAGCAACGTATTGGACTATTAAAACGTACAGCAGATAATTTTTGCATTTTATTATGGCAGTTTTAGAAAAAAGGTGATTGAAGTGAGTATTGTACTTTATTTTTGTTTCTTATCAAAGAACGCAAAGAAAATAGTTTAGATTTTAAATTTGATAATAGATAGATTTTAAATGTTAACAGCTTAAAAAAAATTAGACTTAAATTTTTTAAAGGAAATTTTTCTTTACTTTTTAATAAACTGTTTCAGTTCTACGAACATAATGCTCCATTTTTCTTTTTCTTTTTATTATTTATTTCAATTAGAAATACTTTCGAGTAAACAGATCTATTTTATTAATTTTATGATACCGCTATAAAATCCTAGGAATCGTTGAATTTCTTGAAACATTTTGGAAAAATCCTGAAAAACCACTACTACCTGTCCATAACTTCCTTGGCGAGAGTACATAAATGCAACAAGAAATACAGTAGTTCTCAAAGATGTTAAGAAACTTTGGATTCTGTTATAAAAATGGACTACAAGAAATTAAATTTGAATATGTTTCGCTGCATTTATAAACATATCACTGTCTAAGTCTCTACAAAACAATGTGGAGCTTTCATCTGCTCTTTCAATCAGTTTGCTCTGAGTGAACTCAAGGTTCTTCAGTACTAACCATTTTCGTGGAGTGGTACTACCGTATGAGTGGTGTTGGTGTATTTAATTATGGCAAAGCACACTAGGGCCATCTGCCTAAGGGGAGGGAGGACTTTCTAAGGGAAACTGGCTCGTATACACGTTACACATGGGGAAAACCACGAAAAGGCCCATGCAGCCAGCCCGTTCACGGGATTTGAACCTCGGACCGAACTACCAGTGTTCAGCAATTTTACCGCTCGGCCGCTGGTGGGCCCTACCATATGAGTGAAATAATCATTTTTTACTTTCTGCATGAAAATTATTTCATTCTCTTCGCCACACTGTTTAACTTGGTTTGGTGTCATTTTAGTTGGTGGAAGATAATGCATATATTAAGACCATATGGTAGTATGTCTTAATATACGCACTATATATATTTAGTTGGTGGAAGATAGTACGTAACTTAAGTCCTCTTCCTTGAAATGTAGAAATCTTTCTCTGATATTATATAAAGCAATAATCCGTCCAGTCTTAATTTACGCCTCCCCCATATAAGGGCATGCTGCAAAAACAGATCTCTATAAACCTCAAATTCTGACAAATAAAGCCTTAGAAATAACCTTTGCTCCTTTTTTATAAGAAATAGCACATTATCTACCGACTTAAAAATCGTTTCGAAAATTGCATTTCCAAAACTGTTCATAATTTTTACTGTAATGTATCACCAAACACTACAATTTCAATTCAAAATCACGGACAATGATCCCAATAAAAACACGCTTTTTTAGCTAATAGTCTTCTTTTGTACAATTAACATCATCTTAAGGTGGTATTTTGGCATTTTGCCGTCTTTTACTCGAAGGAGAGTTAAAATGTTTTTAAAGAACTTCCTTTATACTTATTATTACACCTGACCCTCGCAACCTGCAACGGAGTATTAGAAGCGAGTAGTTCCCGGAAATTCAGAATACTATATGTTTTTATTTACAACTATATTTTCGTAAATGAAATTATTTTTCTGTTATAGTAGTCCTTCACATAATAATATTTCATTGTTTATCTTTTTTATTTTTCAGGTGAATGGTATACGGGTGGATAAAAATTCAGCTTTGAAGGTGTTCAAAGAAGCAGGTAATTCCGTACATCTTTCGCTGAGAAGAAGATTGTACTTCGCACCAAATGAATGATCTAATAAGATCTGATAAGTGTATATTTATATTACATTTTAAGTCTAATTAATAAAACGTGTTACCAGAATTAAATAGCTAAAATTATTTTTTCTGTTTGTGATTTTAAACAGTTTGTCTTTTTAAAACTCAAAGATACATGAAATTTATTCTTACAAACTTCCTTAAAGTTATTCTTTACCGACTCTGATACTTAAGTGCAGTCATTAAACGCATTGCATGAAGCAAATTTCTGCGATGATTCATCGTTGATCATTAATATTCGTCTTTGTTACTGCAGCAAATACAAATATGTTTTGAACTGGGTGATAATGCTCCATATTTCTTCTTTTAAGACTGTTAAGTCCTCCTTATATTTTTTTATCTAAAGGCTGCATTCTACGTCTTTTTCGCTATACAGTTTTATATCATATTCTTTCTTAATTAATACATTCGTTAAGATGGAGAGATGAGCTTTCAGAGATTCTCATATTTGACTGTGGAAATGAGATCGAACTAAAACGAGAAAACAATAGCTTTTATAAAATAAAATTTTATATGGTACATTACATAACTTTCTTTCAAATTTACTGCAGATAATTTCATTTATTCATTCCAATGTATATAAATGTTAAAATTCAAACATTTGTACTTAGCATAGTTAAATCGTATATGGCCTTTAAAACTTATCTTTTACTGCTAGCAAAATCAATTGAAATCAAAACTTTTTTATGACTGAGCTCACATAATATGAAGAGCATTTTCTTGTGAAACGTTTTTAACTGTGTAAGAAATAGCATACTAACTTAAATTTTTTACATGTAGAATGCGAATATCAATTGAAATTTCCTACATTTTTATTAAATACGTCACATGATCAAAATTGCCTTAATCTGAATGTCTTTTTTGCCCTTAAAATAAAACCGTGGTTCTAATTTTCTTGATTCAAGAAGTATTGGATAATGCAGATTTTTTACGAACTTGTACTTACATACTATGTTGGAAAATGAAAGCTGTTGAATGGTGAAGAAAAGCTGAGAAAGAAACCAAAAATGTTCTCGAATTTGTAAAATGGCTGCCTGCGTTTTCCTATTATATTTACATATTTTAGGCTAAATTTTTGAATGAACACACGTTCTTTTCCCCCTTCAATTAAGTTATTTAATGTCTTATGCCATAGATTCTAAAAGATTTATGATAAAACATTCAGGCTTTTGTTAATTATTTTTCATGAAAAAATTCAATCTGATATTTAATTTCATTATGAAAAATAGAGTAAAAAAATTTTCAAATGTTTATAAAATAAGCTTTTATTTAAAACTCAAATAATTGATGAAATGAAAACAAAAATATGATTTATCATTTAGTGAGAGCAAGTGATTAAATTATTATCTTTCAAAATTCACTAACAATTTTTTATCACAAGATAATAAAAGCATAGGGCATCTTTGTTAAATGTATAAACTTAATGGTTTACACTTTTAGCAGTGCATTTCGATTGTAGGGTTTAATTATTTTGGTCCCCACGCTTTCAATATTCGTGACATAAAACTGTAAATGAATTATTTGAAATAAATTATTTAATCTCTTGCTTCTATTAAACTATATGATAAATTATTTTTCACATTTTATTTCATTAAGTTTTATGAGTTTTAAATGAAAGCTTATTCGATAATTCTTTTAAATTTTTTATTTTCATCTTCTTAGTCTAAATGACATGCTACAAATCAAATCATGAATTTCAAAAATCTTTTTTTTTTTTTCAACAATGAATAATTACTCTTTTACTTCCAAAAACTTTTTATAACTGACAGAAAACACCCAGTGATTCTGCGAAAAAAATCAGCAATTACATTAAAATCTCTTATAAGCTTCATTTAAAAGAATTTTTCAGCTCTATCCAATGGTGCAAACAGTAAAATTCTGAGATTTTTTAGTTTGTTCTTAAAGGAAGATATATAAGAAAAATCTTTTCAATATAACAAAATATAAATTTAAAAAAAAATCGGTTTGCCACATTATGTTGTCATCCATAAGCAGTTGTGTATACTATATTTTTCTCGAATTCAAGATCAGTTTTGAACAAATTATTATTGCCTTTCAGTTTCTTGAGATAAACAATTTTCCGCTCCTTATAGAAGCGTTTCTTTTAGAAACTGAAAATTTCAAATGAAATGGAAAAAATTGGAAATGACGAGGTAGATTATATTATGAGGCAATATCATAACCTTCTAACTAGGTTTTTCAGCAATGAAGAAGGAGCTATTCTGTGCCCATCGTAGAACATTTTAAAAATATATAGAAAATCGCCCAATTCATATTTTTCTTTATCATTCTTTTTCATTCAGAAGGCGAAGAATTTGTTTTATAATGTGTGAAAAGTCAAAAATATCTGATTAATGCATTTCTAGATGTATAAATTTTAAAATCATAAAACATGAAGTAGTTGAAAAATTGAGCAATTGTCGAAAATACACCAAAACTTCAGAAATGACGCTAAAAATATAATATAAATTACATTAAAAATATATTTCTGGCTCCATTTGATGCTGTAGACAATAATTTTTTTAAATCTTTACTTTGTTCGTTAAACGAAGATACAGGTGCGGCAGGGAAACTATCTTATTTTTAAAATGAATAACACAAATAGTATAAGCGATATCTGTTTAATTTTTTTCAAAGTTATAGACAGACACTTGAAGTTTTTTTTATTACGATTTAAAAATAATATCATTAAGGTGGCCTCCGTTCCGGTCAAAGCATTGAGATAGTCGAGTTTTGAAGTTTCTTTTCACTTTTACCAGCATATCAAAGGGTATGTTGTCGAAAGTAGCTTGAATATTGTTCTTCAGTTGAGCCAGGGTCTTTGGACGTTAGAGATTTCAGATAGCCCCACAAAAAGAAATGACACGGGGCTAAATCAGGCGAGCGCGCTAGCCACCGATGATCGCGCCGTAAGGAGATAAGGCGTCCAGAGAAATGTTTTTCAAAACACCATGGTCCAATGATGCCTTTCCTGAACAATGCACACCAAACAGTCACACGTTCTGTATGGAGGAGATGCTCATGAAATTCTCGGTTATTCGGGCCACTCCATTGTCGCATGTTTTGCTTAATGCATGATGCAAACGGAAAGATGAAAATGAGGCTCATCGCTAAAGAACACAAAGGCATCATGAAGCATATTGCCAAGAACGGCTTTGCATGCAGTGGTGTAGAAAGCATAATTGGCGTCCGGGGCAAAATACCTTTTTTCGCCCCGCCCCGAAAAAACACAGTGATATAATGAAAATCTTGTTTGGAGACCATTTGGCACCCCTCTGCGAGCGGCGTCCGGGGCATCATACACTCCCTTGCCTCCCCTCGCTACGCCACTGTTTGCATGTATTTTTTTTTTTTTTTTTTTTTTTTTTTGTGTGTGTGTGTGTGAAAGAAAATTGCGTGGATTCAGTTTTTGCACCACTACCAATTTATATGGATGATAATGCAGTACGTTGAAAAGTACGACACCACGGCGAACGCACGCTCCTCTCTCGTCCACTGCATGATCGGTACTAAAGCTACATGACATAAAACGTTAGATACCGCTCTTTTCAATGAGAGCCACCCCACCCTTCTCGGAATAAATGTCGCTAGAAGGCGCACGTTTCAAATTAGGAAGTTCCCCTGCAGCACCCTGTATAATGAAAAATCTTTTTTAAACATTAAACTTTAAAATATCTAACTTTGAAAGCATCGCTTCAGCCCATTCCATTGTCCACAAATAGAGTGTGCACAAAAAATTTTAACTCTATAGATGAACAGAAAATACGATTGAGAATCATTGACAAACTTCAGACCTTAGCGACAAACACCGTATTAAAATTTTATAAATACTATGCTATTAAGTGGTCAAATGTTCAGCAAAAGTGAGTGAGTCACATAAAAAGACCTCCTTAAACTCTCAAGAAACAATGCCCTTTGCTGTTACTTTCTTTCTTGCAATGATTAGATGCAGAAGTCATCGCATGATTTCTACATTACAGAAAAATATTCTATAGGTTTAATTTAGAAGACTTTTTTTAGAGGATAGGCTATTAAAATGGATATCAGCAGGCTTCTGTGTTCAGATTATGTAAATAAAAGGTCGGTCTAAAGAACAAACAAACAACAGAAGGACTGACGTGGTGGAAAAGCTATTGCATTAAGAAGCTCTGGCGGAAATAATTCCGAAAACAGGACCGTCTAGAAATGGATATCTCTTTTACCTTTTAGTGTAATCCATTTCTTCACAATAACTGCATGTTTTTAAGCTGATCATCCGTATAAAATTAAATACGCATTTACTTGCTTATTCCCTCTTTTCCTACTAATTTTGCTTCTTGAAAGTCTGGAGGGAAAGATATCGCAGTGATAACACTCTTTATGAATAGATCGCTTAAGTGATAAAAAGCACGCATAACAACACACTAATTATATATTTCAAATGGCTTATCACTTTCAATATATTATTTTTACTTGCAAAAATTACTTTCCTATTTGTGCATACATTTTACCATAAATCAGAATTTTCTAAATCGTGTACTGAAAAAACTAGGGGGCAAAATAGATGAGTAAATTTAATATTTTCTTTGAATTTCAGATCCAAGCACATAGCTTAAATTTCATATAATTTAAAAGCAGATATTGGTATTTTTAATTGTGCGCTGTAAAGAGTCCATCTGTCTTATTCACTCAGTCTTTGTTGCTCATTAATACATTTGAGAGGGAAAAAATATGTGCAGTTTAGGCAAACAGAAAATATGAGCAAAAATGTTTTAAAAAATTACGAAAAGTTTTTCAGATTTAATTTCAAAATATATATTTGCCGAAGACACCAGCATTCACTCAGAAACTCATGTTAGAAATACACAGCATTGGATTTAAGAAGTTGAATAGAGTTACAAAGATTAAAGGATGCAATGAACCACAATACGATATACTGAGCATTATAAATAAAGAATTTAAAGACATGTTATTAGTTACTTAGAGCCGACTATAATCCATTAATTAGCATTCCAGTAATCATGAAAATATTCTAGAGCTACTTGTTCTGTTTCCAGTGC